TGCCCCAGGGCGAAATGGGGCCTCTGGGGCTCACCCGCCAAAGGGAAAGAGGCCGAGCCCCACGGGACACACAGCACGGATGCGGCTGCAGCCAGCCCTCAGCACCCAGCCTGGTCTTCAYACTCACAACTTTGTCAAACTGTGAAAAACACTACGGAATTTCCCTCGAGTGGTTTAACTTGTGTCAGATTTCAAGGGAGAGGGAAAATAACACCTTCACCTTCTMTGCAACAAGTCGGGCTGTCAGAGATATAGAAACAAGGAAGCTGCTGAGTCTTTCTAATCATCAAACAGCACACATTAAACCTGAAAATTAAATCAACTTTTTTATTCAAAGCATCTATTAGAATGATAGCACATCAACTCTTCTGCTTTTAACTCACGCCAAACTACAACTTAATCTTTCAAAGCTCTGAACAATTTCTTGTATGTAATCACTTAATAACAAAAAGCAGTCTTCCACATCCCGTCTTTCCTTTTTTTCCTTGGTATTTTACCCCAAACTTGTCATGATCCAGAACTGCTTCAGCTGTCTGAATTTTTTCTATGGCAAAGTACAATCCAGTGTACTTGTCTTACCTTAAAGACCTGAGGAAATATTCTGGCTGACTGAAAAAAAAAAWTWAAAAMCCYKRAAAMCMARSMAMMAAAAAAAAMCSCACTAAAAAACCACAACCAATCCTGATGAAGTAAGATTCCAGTCTGCAAATTACAGTCTTCTGCCCCGATAAATACTAGTCAGGAGCAATTCTGAGTTATGACTCAGAATTACAAGATCTATGTTCAGGGCTCATTTTGGGATCAGACTATTTGCATGAAGCCAGATGAATATTCAAAATCATGTAATTTTTTTTAGAAACCCAAAACCTACATGCATGAATTACCAGTTTCATATAGGCTAACAAGCCTAGTATGACSAGTGTTTCTTATGTTTTTCAGAAGCTGAAGCAGAAGTTAAACCGTATCACTGGTGCAACATTATTTACATTCAATGAAAGAGACTTTTTAAAAAAAATTATTCAACTACTCTTTAGTTAAGTGCATCAACAGAATATTTAACCAAACTGGGTTTAATGAGATTTTCAACCACAACGGGTTATCAGAGAACACACTTGAACAGTTGCAGTTTCTGGTGTAAAACTACTTTTCTGGAACAGCTGTAGGCATCTGGTCAGCCTATATCAAGTGACTGATAAAATGTTTTCTTCCTTTTAAATGAGAGGGAAAGAGGTTTCCTTTCTCATCTGAATTTCCTGACTTTCAACAAGAGGAAGAAGTTAAAGCAAGCAGGTCAGTAAATACACATTATTAATATCCCCTTAAGCAGTAGCTTAACAACAACAAAAACCAACAACAAAACCACACACAAAAAGTCCAATCTGAAAACAAAGTTTTGTTAGCATATTAGGAATCTCTGGCTGCCTTCAAAGCAAAAAAAAAAGGAAAAATATCTCCATGAGACAATGCTACTAAAGTATACAACATTCACAAAGTGACAAGATACCCTGTTAAACATTTTATATCARCATCTGAGTACTAGGCAGCAGTCTGCAACTTCATTTATTTGGGAAATATATGAAATCACACTGTTAACACACTTGTAACTACCTTTGGAAGCCTATTTTCTAGTTGTATAGTGAATACTTTTCTGCAGTGTTTAATTTATAGCTGTGCTATGGTTAGTGAACAAAAAATCAGCATGTTATCCTGGAGTAAAGCAATAAGGTGGCTTTATGCACTGTAAGTACGGAGGCTTCTATTTGCTAATCATCATATAAAAGCAATACTTTRAAACTTAGTGTTTGCTAACAGAAGACCTAGCATAGTTTACTACTAACTCACACCACCCTGTAAATAACCCCTTTATTAACAAAATCAAGTGCCAAATCAACTACAGGGTCCAAAAACACCTGAAAAAATATTACCAATTGCTTACCTTTGTCTAGACTTTGCAAGACTAATCATTTTCAGATAAAACAATGTGCAAAACTTCCCAACTACACATGTTAGGAATAACAAGTGCTACCAAGAGATTCTGCTAACATCAAATCAAAAAAAACGTGAAGCAGCAAAGTCAAGYCTCATACCTTGAGCAGTCACAGTGAAGATATTCCCTGCATGATGCATTTTCTTTCCCTGTACAAGCTGAGAGAACTAACCTTTTCCTTTCACCTTGGAGATGCTAAGTAAAGATATACTGACATTAAAAAACATGGTTTCATTGCTGTTTAACAATATCCCCAGACCCATCACTTTGCTTAAATAGTCAGATAAATACTATTTTGTCAGCCTTCTTTGGCCACATGTACCATCCTACTAATCGCGAACACTTTGTTCAGAAAGCGTTTCCTGTGAAATCTGCTTCAAATAAATGAGTTAACCTTGCAAAATCTAGCTTCCAATGACACGTAAATTTGTCAACCCTGCATTATGCAGTCCCATATTTACAAAATACTTAAAAATTTTACATCTGTCTTCTAACTTATCAAAAGTGCAATTCTCTCACCCCATGTTACGAGGCAACAACATTCTTCATAAATTCTACAGAATAGCAGCCTATTATAAGCAAGTAAGGTGCTTAGCTTATGCTTGGGATCTAACTGGTTAAGTAACACCAGAAAGTAAATTTTTTATGAACAGACACTGCTCCTCCTATCTACTGTCGCAGGGGTGCCACAGCTAAGTTTGCCAGCTCAATGAGAGCCAGTGCGCCATGCATGCGTTCACGCTGCTCCTGGAGGCGGCGGTGGCGGGCAGCTGAATGAGCGCTGTTTTTCTCTTCATCGTCCTCTTCATCAGACTGAAGATACTCCATTGGGTCCTGCTGTTCCTGATCTGTTTTCTGGATTGCTTTGGTCTTCAAAGCAGGAGCACGCTGCTCTCTTGTCTCCCAGTATCTGTAACATCAAATGTGAGGAATACTTGTAAAATATGTGCATTTGACTCACCACCAAAAATTCAAAGTGGGTTAAACTTCCCAAATACTAACTTACATCCAACTGAGAAGTGGACTTGAGATTTATCTTTTAGCCCTTATATGGTAGTGTTTAAGCTGTCAAAAATATTCTTTATTCAGCATTTTAAGTGTAAAGTGCCCAAGGAAACATCTGTGACAGACTTCTCATCTCCATGGTGTTCTCAGCAGGTATTTCTCCCTAGGCATACACAGCCCCTCATACAAATGCAAATTTAGCAAAACTGTAGCACTACTAATAAGCTATTAGCAGGCATTGATCAAGCAAAGGTAAGTATTTAAGTGGACAGCAAACACACAACAAAACATAACTGTAAGAAAGAAAGTTTCATGAGGAACTTTGTCTTGGCCAGGAGCTCATAAATCTTTAAAGAGAGGCAAGGCTGCACTGATGTGTACTAGAAGAACATTTTGTTTTGGTTTCTTAGGGTTTCATTGTCCCAAAGAATAAATGCTGCATCAGACCACCCTTATAAGTATTTTGAGAAAGGTGACAACGGGAAGGAACTTACTTGGCTAGCCACTCAGCCACAGCTTTATTGTCAGCCGTCTGCTTCTTACTCAGCCTGTCCGTGAGCTCTTCCCTCTTCAGTCGGGCGTAGGGATGTTTGGGACAATGACGGTTTGCATGTGTGAATCTGCTTAAACAGCCTTAAAAACCCACAAAGCGAAAATGAAGGTGTCACAGAAAGCAGCCAACCAATGACTAAGTGTAACATCTGTAGGGTGAAAATGCCACTGAATCCAGCCTTCCCCATTCACAAAAACCCTAGGTTTGGTCAAAAATGGCATGCTTTAGCTGCAAGGTTCAGAACATGCCCCATCATTTTATACATTAGTAACTACTGACAGAGAATGTACGCAATCCTTAGATACGTAGTTTCAGAATTAGGCAGATTCTGCAAKGCTCTTCCCCTCCCTAAAAGTTCCACCAAAATTAAATTCCAAAGCTTTTACCATGTAAACATGCCTGCAT